AGAGTATTTTTTAACACAAGTATCTGTACTTTTACTCAAGTATGGAAAGTGAGAACTTTTGCCATCTCTGATGATTACTGTACAAATTGTAGGTTGCAGCAAAGTTTTTTTTTTTCAGATGGATGTTCTGTTGGGGCCATAAGGAGGGACTTGCCCATGGCTCCATTCATGTTAGAACCGCTGGTGCTCATGTATATACAAGTAATCTAAAAGATGTTATTAATATAAATATTGTTGTTATTACTTAACCCAAGGAATCACTATACCTGTGCAGGTATAAGAAAAATATATTATATTTGAAAAAAATAGATTTTTGAACTACATTGCTGTCTAAAATCTAGGAATAAATTAAAGAAAAAGAAAAAAATCCACATTTCTCCTTCCGTTTTGAACAGTGAAATCCAGAAAGTTTCCAGTTTACCCTCAGAAATATGAACGGACGGGGTCTCCTATTTTAAGAACATTCTGCTATTGGCTGCTTATTCGGAACAAACCATCTTTTATTCTCAACGCAAAATGCTTCAGTAACACACGAATTAGTTTATTAAAAATACTCATAGTATCTTAGCCAAATAGGTTCTTTATAAGGAATTGAAATATTTCTGAGTTATTATCTGTCGCTTTGAAGTAGAGCCGCTTTGGTGCCACCCCCCACGTTATTGAGGAATGGTCCGCTCCCTCTCTAACCAGAGAAGGGAGGGTCAACATGGCGTCTGAGGAGGTCCGTTATGTTCTGTCCGCTATTATTCTGACACATATTCTCCATGTTTTCTGCTAAAAGAGTAACGTGAACCCGTTCTTAGTGATATATTGTTCAGTTTAAAGTAATTTATTGAAGCATGCCGTGTGTTGCTCCTGCTGTTGATGAAAATATCTCTGCAGATTAATTAATGCTGGCCTCCGCGTCGATGTTTTTATTATGACGCTAAATTATATTATTCTGCTGTTGAAAAACAAAATTGTTTTTCATAACAAACAAACAAAAAAAGAGAAAATCTGAATGTTTATGAAGGAAATTGTGCAAACCTTTAATCGGTGTGTAGTTTATTTTTAGTAATGACCACAGACTGGCTGTCGCTCAGAATAAGAGCCATTCCGATGCAGAGAGCTAAGAAGTTTTACGATTATTGCCACTGAACTTTATATTAAGCTAACCTTTAACCCTCAGGAAAGCTAATTTCAATATCCTGATTGTATAAAGAATGAATAAAGTAGGTAACATAGGTTTTCTAACAAGGGTTATTCTCACACATGTGTAATTACAATGAATTACTGATTTATCAGTGTGGTTATTAAGGTAAAATGACATATATTGTTTTTTTTTTCCTTATAGGAGAGCTCCAATGGCCCAGTGAAGAAGTCCATGCGCGAGAAGGCCATAGAGAGGCGCAACATCAACAAGGAACACAACAGTAACTTCAAAGCAGGCTATGTACCCATAGAAGAAGAACGTCTTCATAAAACAGGGCTGAGAGGGCGCAAAGGAAACATGGCTGTCTGCATCATCGTACTCCTCTTCCTTCTCGCCTTAATTAATCTCATTGTAAGTCTCTTAGTCTGATTGCAACTGTCACAGAGGAGGAGGTTTGACAGGACTTAAATGCAGACACAAAAACTTAAGGATGTTACTTGAAGGTTTTAATTAACCAAAAGTTCAAAAAAAGCAAAAATCCAAAACATAAATCCACAAAAAAACTGAAACCTAGGAATACTCAAAACAAGAAGGGGACAAAGTAATGACGACAAACCAGCAAAGAGTGACTGAAAAAGAGGAGATTATATGGGAGAGAAACAAAGACCAGGATAATTAGCAGATTGGGAGCAGGTGTGAAGGCAAGAAGGGAGCTAGGGAAAAGGAGACTGACACATAGACTATGTTCCCACTGCAGCCTGAAGTGAACTAAATCCAATTTTTTGGCCCATATGCGACCTGGATCTGATCTTTTCATGGCAGTCTGAACAACACAGATCCGATTTTTTCCAATCCAACCCAGGCCACTTGGCTATGTGGTCCTGAATCCAATACGAATCTGATCTTTTCAAATGCAACCTATGTATGAACGTTCAGGTCGCATTAATCCAACCTGAACGCCATTAATACTTGACAAAGGTCACTATTCTGCGTCTTGCTACACACAAAAAGCAGCAAGAAAAACAACAACTATGGCCGACGTAATGCAGAGGGCAGTATTTATGTTTAACCATATTGAAAAGAGTTTTTATGGTTGGAAAAGATCGCTAGATGCGCTCTGGCACTACCATCCATGTTTACTTCTGGGAAAAAAAAGAGTACGCTGGCCTGTGACGTCATTGCGTCCTTTACTGCGCATGCGGGACACTTGCGTTGTATGACTGCAGTTCACACAGGAGATCACATACAAGTCGCATATATTTGGAAATATGAACGGTAACGCAAAAAAATCAAATTTCGCAAAAAAAGGGCAAACAGAAAATATCTAAGAACTCAAATACAATCAAAAATACCTAGAACACAGGAATCGAAATAAGACCAATGAAAACTCAAAACTTGAACAAAACCAAAACCATGACAGCAGCGCCTTTAAAAACTCTTTGACCATTTCAAAATCATAGGGAAATCATGTTTAAATGTCAAATCATTCTGGCTTAAACAGTAATTCTGGCTTAAATATCTCAGAGTTAATAAAGGCACATATTTCAAAATCCATTTCCAAATATTCAAAATAAGATTATATGGAGATTATCTGGAAACAAAAGTTCAAGTTCAAATTCTCACCACTAAATTTCAGTGTAGCTTAGTTTGAATCATTTCAACAATTATATATGCTTTCAATATTGAACTGTTTCTGCTTTGGATGTATGTTTAGAGTTGATACTCTGCTTTGTCACATCAAGCAGATTTTCTAGGAGTTTTCCCCTGTATTTAGCTCTATCAACGTTTCTATTAATTCTGATCAGGCTCCTTATTCCCTGTTTAAGAAATGCATTCCCAAAGCATGATGCTGCCACCACCCTGTTCAACAAAGGGAACGGTGAGTTGAGAATAATGTATGGTGCTAGTTTTCCTCAATCGGAGCCCCTTTTTTTTTAGATGTTTCTCATGTTCTCATCATAACTTGTAGTAAACAAGACTTTCTTCTTCCTGATATTTTTCCCTAAACTACAGATTTTGTAGGACTGATAGATTTCCTTTCCACAGATTCTTCTAGCTGAAATGTAGATCTCTGCAGCCTTTCCAGAGTTATCTTGGTGAATCTTTCTTAGCTGTTTCTCTAAATAATGCTCACCTTTAATGGTTTAGCATTCAAGCTGGACATATTTGTAGATGTGGTGTGATTTTTTTTCATTTTATGATGATGTTTTATTTTAATCAAGGTGTATCATACATGTTTCCAGATCTAATTTTATCTTTATTGCTTAAAAGCTTGCATCTTTTCCTTTCAGTTTGCTTGATCTTAATCTACATCGCTGATAAAATTGCAATAAAAGGCAGTAAATTAGTGGGATAAAATAGTTGGGCTCTATATCTGTCTGCCCTACATTGGCGTAGATAATGTAAATATATAGGAAGTCTGATGCAACTCTGCTGGCCCTCAGATCACACTGGTAATATGGACGGTTATCCGGATCGGGCCCAATGGCTGCGACAGCATGGAGTTCCATCAGAGCGGCCTGCTACGCTTCAAACAGAAAGCCGACATGGGAATCGTCCATCCTTTGCACAAGAGCACAGTGGGAGGCCGTAAAGACCAGGACCTGGTTATTGTGGGCAACAATAATCCGGTAAGAAAATGAGAAAAAAAAAGAAATTACACCTATAATCTAAAATAAAACCCTGCTAGAGCTTCTTCTTCTTTCCCATCGATGTGTTGTTAACAGGTGGTTTTCCAGCAAGGCAACACTAAGCTTAGCGTGGAAAAGGACAAAACCTCTGTGACCAGTGATGTCGGCATATCCTTCACAGACCCTCGGACGCAGACGACCTTCTTCAGCACAGACTTTGAAAACCATGAGTTTCATCTTCCCAAAGGAGTCAAAGTCCTGAGTGTTAAAAAGGCGTCTACTGAAAGGGTGTGTAGGCTGTTATAGTGGCACTGTAAAAGAAGTGATTCATTAATTATATGGGGGGGATTAGAACCTGCGCAAGACGTGCTGTTGTTATTGCTTTCCATCACAATAAAGAGAAACATTGTTCTCAGAAAGAATCATCGCCATCGCAGGGTCATCGACGTAAAATAAATTAGATTTGAGCTTCAAGCAGGAAAGAAAGTGAGGAAACATGGTGTCTTACAACATTTACTATAACCTTTCAATGTTAAATGTTAAACAGTTGTTAAGTAATGCAGTTGCTGATAAGATTAATTAAGTTTCTTGCAAAAAATTATGTGTTTAAATCCAGTAAATGGTGAAAATAATGAATGCATGAAGAAGTATTAAATGAGCAAAAAAAGTTTTTAGTAATTTTCATCCAGATGTTTTTTTGTTTTACATGCAGAGCTCGTTCATTCTCATTTTAACATTAGCAAACAACATGTCAGTCAGTCAGATATTCTGATTTTTTTATTTCCAGATCACCAGCAGCGCATCGTCTGATCTGAACATCAGGGGAGACGGCAAGGCCATCATTCGCGGTAACGAGGGAGTGAACATCATGGGCCGCACTGTAGAGTTTAAAATGGGCGGGGACATCGAGCTCCGGGCTGTAAGTATGAATCATGATAATATGTATATATAGGAGGTTTAAATATACTCTTCATTGCCATGACCGTTAGGGTTTTTTTCGTCTTTATTTTATTTAAAAGAAAAACTACTCAACCTTGATTTTGTTGAGAGTGAACATAATAATTATGCAGATAAGCCCAAATAAAGACATCTACCCCCATTAAGCTTCTAGCAAACCTAACCTCTTATCAGAAATGTTGAAGATCACTTAAGTTGTTGGTTTCTTTGGCCATAGACCCTTTTTAAGCTTAACGCCATGTATATAGTATAGCTGAAGTCCATTAGCCTGACATCCGCCTGTTTTCCACATTTTATCACCAGTTTTATGCATTTTTGATAACATTAGCCTTTTGAAGCATCTATTAATTAAAATCAACTGTACAAACTATAAAAAGGTTCCAGAAAATAGACTAAAATCTGTCTACGGTTACAAAATGTATTCAAAATTAGTTTAAAAAGCAAATTCAAAGCCTTTAATTGATATGTATGGCCTAAAGGAATAGTACACCCAAAACATGATTAGCCTTCATTTTCTACTCACCCCCATGCTGAACAACACTCTGGAGTACTTTTTTGATATCTCAAATGCATCTGGAGATCTGGGAGGCTTCTTGCTGTCTGCTGACATTCAAATAATGGAGGTCTATGGCGCCCGAGACAGAAAGGTCCATAAAAGTCCACAAAAAACGTTTCAATATTCCTCCATACTGCTCGTCCAATGTATTCCAAGTGTCCTGAGTGGGTAGCATCCAGAATTTACTCGAAACAAAGTCATTTAGAATGTTTTTAGAGCATAAACAGTAGTGTATAGGATTTCCTGAAAGCGCGCGCCAGCGCGTTCACGAGTCTACGGAAGCCGGCAGACCAAACCAGATGAAAGTGCGCATTCAGCGTCTGCTCTGCCGATAATGCAAGCGTAGAAGAAGAAATGTGCTGTTTACCTGTGCAAAGAAAGAAACAACGAAAGAAAAATGTCTGAGGACTTCAGTGTTGAGGAAGAGCATGAGTTCTTTGCCGTGCTGAATGCGCACTTTCATCTGGTTTTGTCTGCTGCGGTTTCCATAGCGTCGTAAACGCGCTTTCAGGAAATCCTATACACTACTGTTTATGCTCTAAAAATATTCTAAATGACTTCGTTTCGAGTAAATTCTGGATGCTACCCACTCAGGACACTTGGAATACATTGGACGAGCAGTATGGAGGAATATTGACACGTTTTTTGTGGACTTTTATGGACCTTTCTGTCTCGGGCACCGTAGACCTCCATTATTTGAATGTCAGCAGACAGCAAGAAGCCTCCCAGATCTCCAGATGCATTTGAGATATCAAAAAAGTACTCCAGAGTGTTGTTCAGCATGGGGGTGAGTAGAAAATGAAGGCTAATCATGTTTTGGGTGTACTATTCCTTTAATGAGTGCATGTTAATGTCTCTTAAAGTAGAGCCTGTAAAAAAATGTAACCCCTAATACTGTTTTTCTTTGCAGGAGAACAGTATCATTCTCAACGGGTCGGTCATGTTCAATGCTACACGCATCCCCAGCTCCACAGACCTGAGGTTCAACGATGGCCTGGAGAGGTACAAGCTCTGCATGTGCGAAGATGGGACTTTGTTCCGCGTTCTGGTGAAGTTTCCAAACATGGGCTGCCAGATCTCAGACAATCCGTGTGGAAAAGCTCATTAGCATCACCGTTCCATCTACCTGCAGTCGTTCAAATCAAACAAACCTCTTACAGTTCTCCGCATTTGATCTGACCTCAGTTGAACCTGTTCAACCTCTGACTTAAATTCATAGAAACATGGTCAGAAACTCCAGTATTTTTTTTTTCTGCGTCTGTCAACTCAGGTTGATTCACAAAAGGGTTGTGTTTTTAATTAAGTCACTACGTAATAATCTTAAAATAAAATGCATAAAAATCTGCAGAACTTGAGCTGACCTTTAGTAAATAAGAACGATATTTGTTCCTCTCTGAGATGCTCTCCAGTAACTTTTATAATGCACCTGAAGATGGATTTAAAGGGATGAACTGTAATTTATATTTTACCTGTACTGCAAAATGTTTCTAATGCAAACAATGCCAAATTTTAAAGGGTGTGCAATAACCTTATGCTACAGAAAACCTTTCCTACAAAAGTATTCTTAAGAGGAAGTTTTTAATCACAGTGCAGCTGCAAACTTCTTCGTATTTTATTAGGATTTTACATGATATAATGTAACACCTTACTATTAGTAATATTTTGTAGACCCTGTTATAGCTGCAGGTCTTTATGTGGTATGTTTCTAGCAGCTTTGCGTATATTTAGATCAAACATTTTTGTGCCTGTTCTTTTTTGGACGACAGCTGAATCTCAGTCAGGTTGGAGGAAGAATCTATTGGTTATAGTTCTAGACTTTACCTTGGTTATTCTATCACTTGGATATTTTTGATCTAAAGTAAGACATTGTAGCTCTGACTGTATAATGTCAGAGAGTGAAACAATTCGTAGATTTAAACTCTTTTGTAGCTTCCTGCAGATAATTTTTCAGTAATACACCATCCATTTTACCCCACATCCTCCGCCATGCCCCGCTGCGCTCCATTCCAGACCACCTCCGCAAAGCAATGCCTACAGCCGCTGCAGTTCCTCCCGTTTTGCTCCGCTATGAGTTCCTTGGAGCTTCAGTAGAGCAAGCGCGAAATTATTGCCGTAATTTTCTGACTATTAGCCGCACCTGAATATAAGTCGCAGAAGCTAAATTGCATGATTTGTAAATATACAAGCCGCACCGGACTAAAAGCCGCAGGTTTTTTTATGTTTAACACAAACTGTCTTGCGCTCGCAATGTCTGTCTTTCTCGCTGTCGTTCTGTCTCGTACCACTCGCGGTAGAAGTCTGCTTCAGGAGGACCTCCGCATTCCCGCGCGCGGCTACTGTACTTGTGTGTTGAAGTAAATGTGACATCAATATGGTGGATGGTAAAATCCATAGATTTAGGTATTACCCTAGTGGCCGTTAGCTGTAAAAGTCCATAGATAAGCCGCATTGTTATATAAGCTGCAAGGTCGAAAAATGGGGAAAAAGTCGCAGCTTATAGTCTGAAAATTATGATAGTTATTTCATAGGAGCACAATACGAGGTAATGACTGCGTAAAAACCTTTTCTTTTTGTAGTGTTTCTTTGAAATTAAGGACACCCAGGATCTTACAAAATTAGCGTGTTCTCTACATCCAAAATCTGCGTCTCTTTATCCATGCCTCTTTTAAGAAGTTGCTCTTGAAGTTGTGAGGTGGGCTATTGGAAGTTTTTGCAACTGGATTTAATTAAACTGCATAAAATAAATATTTTTATCAAGATGAAAATTCTGATTCCCTGTAGGTTGAAGTACCAGTACTGTAGTTTGCATCCAATTTTGGGGAATATATGAAAAGAATGTTCCAATTTTAAAGTAAAGATCAGTCGTTACCCTATTTGACTTTAATAAACCGGAACTTCTAGACATTCTTTTTCTTGTTTAATAAGATTGCAATTGTGGATCTTGACCTGGCCAGTTTGTAACTAACCTAAGGCTGCTGTATTAATCCCAGCTGCATAATACTGCCACCATCATGGGTCACAGTAAGGGAAGGTGCTTTTACAGCGATGTCTAGTGTTAGTTTTCTGCTCCACGCTGCGTTTCACATGCAGGCCAGAAGCTCCATTTCAGCTGTCATCTGATCAGAGCACCTTCTTTTCAAATGATTAACTGTCTGCTTATGGGAATCTGCAGGATTTATTCCATAAACGTCACACTTGCCAATTGCATGAGTAAAATTTTCAGTGGGATCTGAAGCCGACTGCTTGCGATGGATTTTTATTTGTAAAATCAACATCATTTATTGTTTTCCTGTTTCCACTTTGTAACAATGTGCCTCTGTTTCTCTAGCTAGGTGTATTAAATAAAATCCCAGTAAAATATGTTGAAGTTTGTTTGAACATGACAACATGTGGAAGGTTCTGTAAGCAGGAATACTTTTGCACGGAAATATAAATGCTAACCTCTTGACAAGCTAAGTGATGAAAGTGGAAGCTGTATAGAGTTGTTTGAGTTTTGTGCAATATATTATAAAAGGATTGTTGTTTTATGTTTTTTTGCTTTTGTTTCGCTTGGATTGATGCAGAAACTGGAGCAGTTCTCAGATGTAATGCCTTTAGTTAAGAAACTTTTCTTTTTACCTACTTGTGCCAACATTGCAGCTTATCACGTTGAAAGAAAATCCCCCAACATTTCACTGGCTTGTTTTTTGAATAAAGAAACTTGTTGCTATGTGAAACTTCTTATCGTTTCTTCCCTGTGTCTCATATGTTCACATAGTCCTTTAAAATCATAAAAAAATACCTGTGATTGTTATCCAGCACTATCATCTGACAGAATATGCACCCAGGGCATGGTTCTCTTAGTCATAAACTTTCAGGATTGCTTATCTGGTATGCTTCGACAGGAAAACAATGACAGTAAGACATTAACCAGACGTGTAAATGATTGAATAAATCACTGTGACATCTTTGGGTTGGGGCTTGTTAAGCTTGAAACAGCAACATTCATCTTCAGACTTTGATCAGAACATTGCGGACAGTATGGTTTGAGTCACAAGGTTCCTGTGAGAGCTTATACACAGGTAGGTTTTTCTTTAATCCTGCTCACCACAGGGTAAATTTAAAGAGTAATGATCTTTAAAGTTCAGTGGTGATACGGAACAGGATGAAGTCACTTCATGAGACGGTTTTTGTTTTTTAATTTTCAGTTTATTGGGTGTTTAAAGGCTGGGTGGTGATGGCGGTACACCGCCCGTACTTTTTAGCAGTTGTGCTGCTTCTGGCTTCCTTGGATCTCTGGTGCTCCTCTTCTTCACCTCCCTGTCCTAAATCCTGCACCTGTCAAAGAGCCTCGCTGCTGAACTGCTCCTCCTCTGACCTGTCATCGGTGCCCCAGTTCATCCAGGACTCGATCACCGAGCTGGACTTGTCTCACAACCTCCTCAGCTCTGTGACTTTTGATCAACCTCATCTCAGCCTCAAGAGCCTGTGGCTGGGAAACAACAGCATCCCATATTTGTCTCTCTGCATAGAAAGACATGTTAGGGGTCGACATCGCAGGTTTCAGTCGGAAACTGGGAGCGGATCGGGATGTCAGACCTGGGCCCCCGCCCTGCAGCTGCTGTCAGCTGAGAGGAATCTGCTAGAGCAGCTGCCAGAGGGTGAGTTGGTGTAATATAATCACATACCATAAAGCCTATTGTAAGCAATACTTTAAATCCTGAGAAAAGTTAACTTTTTCACCTGAAAGTATTGCTGATTTCATATATGACTGCATTATGAGACTTTTTTATTGCATCAAGGGTTTAATCTTAGAATCTAAATCCATTCCTTTGAAAGCTGAACTTTTTATTCA